ATTGCTTAACCAGTCAAGAATTATTGACCAACGCAGTATACGTTCAGACTCTGGGGAGCTAGTTTTCAAGGGGAGAGTTCAACGGAGGAGTTAAGGGGTCTACGCGATGACCTTCAAAACAGCGAAACATCTGACGGCATGGTCAACAGTGGGTAACTTGGTTTGCAGTGTTCCTCTTTCTCGGCCTCAAGTGAAATGCTCGAAAAGCCCTTTAATGAGGACGCCCTGCTCACTGACTTACAATGGTGAGTTGTTTTGCTTTCCCACCGATTCATGGGTCTGGGCAATCTCATTGCGGTGTGGAATCCGATTTCTAGGAGTTTCTGTTGAGACTGCGTGTCACTTCATGGAGGTGTGCTGATGCCAGAGTGAGAAGATTTAACCAGGTAGGAGAACTACCAGTATTTCACCTGTGGAAGTAGGCCAAAAACGTTCCACACCGGCAAAGACGAGGCGTATGAACCACACCCACACCTTCCAGGTTCTGAAGACGGTAATTTACGTGAATGGGTATGTAGAACGTTCGACTCCGCCCAAAGCGCGTAAAATTCGATCACCTGGACATCGGTTTTCACACCCCGTCGTGATGAATTGCACGTATCGGTTGCCGGTTTTGAACATGGGACAATGGGTCCACAGCACGGTGATGAAGGCGACTAAAGCCCTGCTTCACAACCACCCTTATAATAGTAATAATTTAGAGTAGCACCTTATCACAGGCCAATTTGTGGATCTCAAAATATTAATGTTCTTAGTGTAGAAATTTCCACGGAATCTAAGCAGACACGTGAGATTTATGGGGTCGCCCACAGCAAAGATCCATACTATTCAATTGCACTCTTCTCGTTTGTCTCAATCCACCTCAACCTGATCAAAGGGAAGGATTCAATACCAGCTTTACCATAAAAAAAGAACTGAAAACAATTGGGTTGTGCGAATGAACAGAGGAATAGTTGATTGTCCATCCAGTCTACCCAGAGAAATACATCACGTTTATAAGTTATTATCTCACACTTTCCGCTTTCACCTACTCGAAACGACTACGAAGAGGAGACCATCGAAACAAGCAATTTACAATGGGTTTGTTTTGCACAACCATATTATTTTATGGGTTTCATTTAGATGTGCAAATGCAAGCGGTGCGAAATTCAATGAAAAGGTCTGTCGTCGGTGCTGGGACACGACTGGTAATCCCATTCTCGAGAGTCCATAAGAAGTAGTATGATGCAAGGAAACGATATACATCCTAATCATGTCGAAGTAATTGAGTATGAGTTATTGAACTTTTCATCTTTATTCACACGGACGCGCTAGAATGATAGATTGCAAACAGTTTCGTTCATTTTTTTGAATCTGAATGTTTTTCAAAGATACGACGAAATACCGGGAAGGAGAGGAAGTAGAAAAAGGAAAAACTCACATAAATAACCACAACTGAGATCCAACTCTTCTAACGTGTGGATCGATCACATAAAGGTAGTACTGTCTGAAATGGGAACAACGAAAGAGGAATGGGAAAGTCTGACACTGTTTCTGCACACGTCAATAATAAATTTGGAAGGCAAAACGATTCGAAGAAAATACAACATAAAGTTGAATATGTGAGTCAGAAGACAAACAGTGAGGGAGGAACTCCTTTCGTGTACTCTCATCGGTCTCGTACGTAAAGCAATGGACAAGATGGACAAAAGAAGTGAATCGATAAACTTAGTTACGTTTTATCGTATACGTGCATTTGTGCACGTGTGTGATGCACACGATTGGTAAAACCAGGGTATGTCAAGGGTAAAGGTCACACGCTTTTGGACAGACAACGCGAGTTTGTTGTGAGCAATCCGTAAGACCTCGAGTATCCTTAGTCGGTGTTTGCCGCGATAAGGTAACAAAATGGAGGATGAGGTCACACGGTCTATCATGTGACTACTTTCAACTAAGTGGTATTGGCGATGGCCGAGGACAGTCTGCGTGATTCACGCACACACTTAGGGACGTGTTCGGCCATTCTAGTTAGCAGTGATCGGTTACATCTGCAACAGAAAGCCCAAATGCAATGGGAGGTAGACTCTACTGAGTGGCTATCTTTGAAAGTGACAGTTCGCCACATGACAGTTCAGTTCTTACAACCATTAATGATGCACCTCTGTGCGCCGATTTTGGTTGCCCATTTGGATAAAACAGCAGAATGATGACTGGAATGTTGAGAGCAGATTCAAGCGAAAGATAGCACATTTTCATAGACGATGTGCACCAGTCTCCTGGTAAGGGTTTTCATACCTTCATGCCAGGTCCTAACTTGACCACCTGTGTTTTACTCCACTCACTACCTGTCTCGCCCAGCATCGGTCGCCGTGGCAACCTATGTAGTGACATGCGTAGCGCATGTCCCCACCAGCGTAATCTATGGTGGTCGACTACCTGTTCCAGTGGACGACCGCGATTACCTAAAACTCTACACCTTACCTCAGTATTGCTCGTTTGGTTTCCCGACCAGACTCATGCAATGCGACATACACAGCGGTGCTCGAATACCGACAATCTATTTTAGTCCTGTTCCCGAAATGGCCAAGTCTCTGCATACTTTAGATCAGACAGTCTGCCACCTGGGAATAAATCGATGCCACTTTCCCCGCACGAGGATAGGGCTGTTTCAAGAATTAAATCTATAACAAAGTTAAATAGAACAGGAGAGAGGGTAACCCTGCCGAACACCACTTTCCGTGGTGAACTCGGGTGAAAACGTGCCGTTAGCTCGGACTCGGCTTCGGCTATGAATATAGAGGGATCGCAATATTAAAAAAAAAACTTCTCTGGCACAACTTTCAGGGAAAGGCAGCGCCAGTTTCGACGGAGTCGAAAGGCGCTTCAAGATCCAGGAAGATAGATACGGTGGGTCTACGAAAAGAATGTCGGTGCCCCAGAGTTTGGCGAAGAGTAAAGATGTATTCGATACAACTTCGGTGGTTGAACTGACAGCCGATCGGAGAGTTCGAAGGCTGATTTGAAACAACCCTGACGTTGTATGGCGGGTATCCGTTGTCGGTGGCTTTTTTACGGTTGTTTGCCAGGCGTAAGGAGAATTTGGCTCATAGCAAAGCATGGTCCGTATCAACAGTTGTTGACCAGTAAGAGCGACAGTCTTAAATCGATCCGCTCCAGCGGTAACTGATGGCGATACGGCCGAGTTGGGCCCAGCGCAGTGAAAAGGTTTGCGGTTTCCATGTAAGGTGGTGTCGTTTCTTGGTCGAGAAGTTTACACGTGACAGGAACAGCCAGTGGTCGGCACAGGTTTGAAGCAGGCGATCGTCATTGTCCGTCCGGTTGGCTGGGATTGCATGTGGTCCACCAAGAAGCCTCTCTGATTCGTCAAAGGATCCCACTTGAGCATTGAAGTATCCAGCGATTACCACGATGTCTATTTATCTAACGCTTTGGTATAATCGAGAAATTTGCTCAGAAGATTCTAGATGATACTCTTCATCCACGAACTATCGTCTTATCGTTCCCATCCTCATTTCGACAACTACCCTTTCGGATTAACCGAATACTTACCAAGAAGAAACAGGTCTCAAGTGAACCACGTCAAAAGTTTGGTACATGAAACATATACCACCGACAATCTTTACCTTTCGTTTTTATAATTATTATTTCATTCTGCGTGACGACCAGTGTGCATTTTCAACTTAAATGTACGCATATATGCTTGCACAATTTATACAAATACAAAGGTCCTTGTAGAATTCATCCTTGATTTCAGGTGTACTGCACACGACGAATAGACATTGACGCTTCGTTCTGTAGCTGTTGACCCGCGCTGAACCATTCAGACGTACGGCGCACAGTCGGCAATTGACTGGAATCCAGGCGAGAAGCGCGCGTTCAGCCTTGGCACTTAGCGTAATCCGGACACCAGCAACACCACGAGCTTCGGGCGTGGAATCGCCTGACACACGAAGGGTGGAGCGTGAAGTTGAGGTTGGATCAGGAGAATGCAGAGAGATATAGGAAGCGGTGTCTTGTACGCGTATTTCGGAGACACAACAAAAATCAAAATTGAAAGTTTCAAGGACTCTAGCTAAGGCAGCTTGTTGGCCGATCTGATAAAGTGTGCGGACAGTGAACTCGGCTAAGCGAAAAGGGCATTTCGGCTTGAAAAGTCCTGTAACTTCTGATTATTTGGACTTGTTGAGTGATATACGATGGGTTTTGCACACTGCAAGCGTTTGGGATTATTCGGGATTGAGAGGAAGAAATAGACATATGCGGAGGGTTTTCCAAATGGGTGCTTAAGGCTTTAGGGTACAATATATTTCGCGATAGCCCACATCAACGAAGGAACAGTTGTGATAAAATATTTTCCATAACTTTTGAACCAAAGTGCGAGCAATCGGACGAAATTTAGACGTTCCCCTTTTGAGTACTATCATGCTAAAAGCCACTCTCCCGCAGTACGGAGTGAAATGCTGAGTACCACACAGGTTGAGTAAGTCAGTGAAAACAGGGGAAAGGGGAACTTCACATTCTCTGAGCACCACAGGTGGCAGTCAATCGGGACTGCATGCTCTTTTAGACTTAAGACTGATGAAAGTTTTGAATACCTCTGTTGCATCCGTAATGAAATTAGTAACAATAAGAGCAAAGACGACTGTTGTGCATGGAGGAGGTATATCGGTTTCAGCATGCTGAATTGGCGATTGCGATCGTCCACGTTGGCAGCTGGCCGATTCCCCTTCGTTTTGAGACCGCAGAACTGTAACAACATTTTCCATGCATCCCGACAATTCCTGTTGGCCAGCTGTCCATGAACCAAACAGTGCTTTTTCGCTTTGAAATCTTGTTTTTCCCTTCCGTCGTAATCGTTTGGGTGTAGGAGACGAAAAAAAGTATGACATTTCCCACGGGCAGCACGTATCATAACAGAAATTCAAATATTCAGTCAGTTTATCACAAGATATAGAGGGATAATTATGTACAAATAGAGAGAAGTCTGTCTAATCTATCTCTTAGTTTGGTGAGGTTTTCGGGCTGACATTGATACCGATGAAAACGACGATCACGATGCCGGGTGTAGAACTGATGATTGAACCCATTGCAGATCGAGGAAGATAGTTTAAGTGTTGCATGACAACAGGTGCCAATCGGCGAACGGCTGCGAAAGGTAACTAAATTCAGGTCGTTAACGAAACACAGGTCAAGACGAGCCTCGAGTCTGGTCGGAAAGTTAACAAAGTTCAATATATATTTCACACACGTCTGAATTCAGACTGTGCCAAACAAATCATGATACAATAATCTTTATGAGAAAGAAAAACATTCCATGATTTGCCGGTGGGCGGAATACTGCTAGTTTGTCCAGACCAAAGCAGGTGGATTTCCTTGAGAAATCCACAACCGGAGCCTTTAGTTAGCCAAAGCCTGACCCGCAAGGCGGCGGTGCGGTGTACGAAAACCGCAGTCCATTGAGAGCCGGTGTCCAGTTCATCTGATCACGCGCCTCTCGGGCGGGGTGAAGTGCCTGAGGTGCCCAATACACCTCGATACCCAATCGAGCCGGTGACCGTTGCCACAACCAAAAAGGTGTGGGTGTGGTTCATGGTTGGTTTGGAATCAGGATTTTTAGCCAAATCCCCTAGGTGAACTACCAGTGGTCCACCAACCCGGTTATAGCCCCGGATGTCGGCTTTTTGTCCTCTCACTTTAGTGGGAAAATACCTCCGCCGCGAGAAGGCAGTGAGTGAGTAGTGCTTCCTCAGCGGAGGCTGTTCGAGACGCTTGGTCGTATAGGAGCATTTCGCGAGGTGCAAGGGAAGGGTGACCAGCCGCAATCCCAGACATTCCCCGACCATACTGAGGCTTTTGGAAGGCATAGGACAACGGATTAACGGCAGTTAGGAATTGGTTATAAGGACTATACAGGTGAATTCGTGTGGAAGTAACATCAACGACTGTGAATGCAGGAGATAAAGCTAACGTCGGGCACTTGCAGATTCCTGGATAAAAAATAGCGGATAAACAAACAGGCATATTTTCGCACACTTTTGACCATATATCGCAGTGTTCCTTGATCTGAACGGAGTCTTGGATTCAGTTGATCGCGACGCTCTAATGGGCTGTGTTCTTCGAAAAGCAATGCCCCAGAATTGCGTCCACTTAGTGAGATCACTGTACCCAAATACCTGTGGTCGACTGAGAGTCTAAAACGAACTAAGTGCACCGTTCGTCACAAGCAGCGGTGCCTGCTCACAGCTGCAGATTCAATCAGGCCTGATAGGTCAAAGGGTATGAATTCTAGACAAAGCTCATTCTCACAGAGCCAGCGACTTGACCACTTCCTGTCTTTCTTTTTCTATCCATCCTCGCCCTGGGAGATGTCACTTCAGCAACTGACTAAGCAGAGGTGCCGTTAACTGGTCAGGACTCCTTGCTAGATGGCCGTTCCAGTAGGGAACTCGGGGCTTCCTCTCACTGGGGGAAAAAGTCGTCGCATTTCGTTTGATATCGACTTCCCGCCTCAGCTGGAGTCGAAGGCTCTGGTTAGGTTTCCTCAAGAAAATCCAGAAATGCCGCTGCCGCGCGGGTGAAACTTTTGTGTCACAAGTTCTGGTCTAGGTAGCCAAAGAAGAAACCCTTCGTCGGTATGAGTTGTCCCGATGTCCGTCGTGCGCTAAAGTCTTAGGTATGCTTTTGGTAAAACCTCATTCCCAATCGTTTTGTTCTTCCCCTCAGTCCCGTTTAATCCGCGATGCCTGATGAAATCTTTGAAAACGCACTTAGCGGTCTTTAAAACGTAGGTATTTAATGAGGAGCACTCTGGTGTGTAATAAAAAAATGCCGTTTTAAGGCCATTTTGTAACGATCTTTCCCCATGAGATAGTTCCTCTTTCATTCAGTCCATAACGGAAATCACCGTTTCTTCCAGTTTTTATTTTATTGTTTTATTGCATGAATTGGGCAACGTAATGCGTGTTTTATTAATTAATTAATTTTTTTATTGCACACCTAAGTGTGATGAACCGCAAACGGAGCGAACCACATAGTCACGAGGACCTGCAGTTCCATGATGGAAACCGGCAACCTAAGCTCCGGGACATGGAGTGGCGAACCACATAAGGCCCCGATAGGTTTGTCGTGGTATTTAACCGGACAACAGCAGAGCTGTGGCGGTAGCGGGGCTCGAACCTCGGACCATAGGGTCCAAGGCACGCCGGTGACGGCGACTAAATCACTGAGCCACCATCACCCACTGCAGTAGTAAAAAGAGTCGAGTTTTTTTTGGGAAAATCAACTTAATCTGTTTTTACAATATACAAAATCGCGACCTTCGTTGTCATTTATCACGCTTCAACTGTTCATTTTGATCATTGTACGGGATATTCATCGATTTCAAATTTCGAAATATGCCCGCATTTAGAACACAATTTCACGCGAACAATTGTTTTGCAATAACTCGTAATCATGCCGTTACAGATTGTGAGGGGACAAATCCTAGGGATTGGGAGGAAATCAATAAAATGTGAGGAATCGTTCACCTTGTATGTGCGTGTCTGTGTTTGTGTGTGTGTGTTGCACACCGCATTCTTAACTCTGTGCTTCCGGAGTTTGCAGTTATGTCGTGTAACCCAGTTCTGAGGGATCGGTTGTTGTGTGAAAATGGTTGTGTGTGCAGGCAGGGAGGAGTAGGTTTACGAACCTAGGGAAGATGAAGAGCTTGGATAAGATATTTCTGGGCACATTGTTCGGGGGTCGAATGCTTAATACAGATGGCCTCGACTATGGCCAACGTACGCATTCTAACGTTTTTGGACCGGTTCGGGGACCCGATAAATAATGCGGAGTGCTTCACTTGGGTTAACACGATGGCCAGTATCCACTAAGTGAGCGAGAATCGCACTGGTGATACATCCGGAACCACTTCGACTCAGCCAGCGGGGATGGTGTTCTTTCATGCGGATAGATAACTGCCCTTGTCGTACGACCGACGTAGAGTGCGCCACAAACGCGGCGTTGTATAGATCCATCATATCTTTTAATGAGGAGTACATACAACGCCGCGTGTACCGTAAGGAAACCTGGAGTGGCCAATACACGAACTTTTACAGCTATGTCCCGATCAAGCCTGATTAAATGTTTGGTATCTAGAGCTCGAAGAATCTGCTGACAAGAAGTATTGGAAGATGAACTCAAGTTTATCCCCAACGTGCTCAGAAGTAATGGCTATCCCGACCGCTTCATTCAACGAAACATGATGGAACAGGTACCGCCGTGAAACTCCGGCGGCCTGAGTACAGTCCAGAAGTGCCAAAGAAGAAGATTGCATCCATGACATTGCTGCAGTGTGCCAGAGTTGAAGGAGTTTGTGCCTTGTTAAGAATGCTATGTGTAGGCCATGTGAAAAGTCACCCGGCGCGAAAGAGTTGAAAAAATTCTACATGACCAATGCGATGCAAGTTCGGGGATCAGGTAAAACTGGTACGAGAGGAACGCCAGTCAAAATGTGAAAAGTACTTGTGGAATACAAACCTGCCGTCGGTTTTCAAATGTTCCAGCTGAGAATATTCCAGTGACTTCAGAATGCTTCTGTGCCGAAAACATTGATCAGCATTCGCACAAATATTCGTTAAAATTTTGGCTTCGATAACACGTTTGATGTCTACGGTATTTAAAAATCTCGTCACAGTTTGCAATTTTATAGGGACCATTTTATTCGTTGGAAAAACTGTGTACTGGCCAACGAAACCGTTAGTTCTTTCTTGTTGGGGCTTGAATCAGTGCATATGATTTGTTCTCACTGGACTTCGATCCGCTGGTCCTCGCTGTTACACCTTAGCTGCACTATCGGCTGTCAATACGTTACATTGTCATATCCTACATTATTTGCGAAACCTTTATGTATGCGATTTCCCTGCAGTTTATAATGACTTAATCAACCGAAGATGGCACACCCTCAGGACAGTTATCGTCAACCACGTAGCTCAAGAGTATGGGTTTTGACTCCCCATCTAAATTGTATTTCTGTATTATAGACGACTTGGGCCTATATTTCAGTGAAAAATGTGTTCACCGTTACAATGGGATAAAGAATGAAATGACAGTTCATGTACAACAAAGATAAAACTTAAGAAGTGATCATCATTGTAGGTTTAAAATTAGTTCCTTGCGGATCCTCACCATTTCAGTGAGAGCACGAGCCAGGTAGGTAACCATTGAGTTGCAATAAATGCGACAAAATGCGGGAGAGTAAGCAGCGAAAGTTGGATCGGGTTGTAGCGTGGGAACGGCATTCAGATAAATCGGGATTGAGCGGATTACTGGGGTCATTGAGTATCTTATGAGTGAAATTCTCACATGAAGTGATATGCAAATTACACAATTTTGTGAGCAGAGTGTTTAAAGGAATAAAAGAAACGGCTGATAATTACTAAACCGCGCCGTAGAGTAATGAAATCCTTTCTAAGTAGTCCAGGGAAAATAACGGGCGAACAATAAAGTATGACAGGAAAAATGAATTGATAAGCAAAGGAACATGCAGTTTCATGCCTGACGCGAAAATGTAGCTTGCATATTTGAAAAGATAAGCGACGTAGTCTACCAACACACACAAGCATATAAGGGGACCCCAGCAGATTGTTATCTATGGTGACTCATAGGTATTTGGTGGTATGTGTTCTGGTGACGTGTACGGAATTGATG